GGGCCCCAAGATAAGGTACCCCTTATTTTCGGAAACTCCCATATTGATAAACTAAACCCAAAGATTAACCCCCGCGATCCCAAGACAAGGAAGCCTCTTGGTCCAGCAGCTGCTGTCGGAGCGGCGACAGCGCCTGGAGGATCCAAACTGAAGACATCTGAAACTGAACCGAAACAAAGAGTAGTTTCCGAAAATTAGGGGTACCTAATTTGGGGCCCTTATAATAAGGATCCTAGTATTTAGGGTGCTATATTAGGGTCCCTTATTTCGGAAACTCCCAAATAGCAACCCCAACCCATTTCTCCGAACTCAGGATACCCAAAGCGAAATTTTCCGAAAGCGACAACAGACCCTTATCTCCAAGGGTAAAATGAGGGACCCTCAATAAGGACCCCTAGAGGTATATACCCTTAATTTTGCTATGATATACCCATTATATAGCCCATTATAGTGTAAGGGTCCCCACTAAGGGTCCCTCCTTTTCCCCTTTGATTATCAACTCCAAACTCTGAACCATTGGCTGGTTGCTTGGACTTCTAGGGTCTACAACGTGACTATAGGGGCCTAAGTAATTACCAACACTAATCTGGTGGGTTCCGTATTAAAAATGATAGTATATAATGGGCCCCGAAGCCCTGTTCTAACAATTAAGTGCCCTATATTACCTGGCCATCTTGATTCTGATGAGCCACTTCACTGAACTTGCCGTGTATTGCAATTTCTGGTTTTGTGCTGGACTCTGAACTCAACGCTAGCAACACGACACTTGGTCTGAACGAGTTCTGCGCTATCGCTGGTCTGCATCTGAACCGTGCGTGATGCCATCCCTGAGTGGAGGGCTTGATCTAGGTCAGCAAGGTCTGTTGGTTTGCTTATTCGCCGTTTCATGTTGGTCACTCGTACCTTCACGTTGGTGGACATGTTCCTATTGAATTTTTCATTCAGTGGAGTTTGACCCGCCATGTTCCTTATCCGAGTCTTCACTGATAGCCGCCTCACGGAGCCGGTAGGATTGGCTGCTCAGGCTGCTCCGTGTGGATTGGTTTTACCTTTCTAATCTACAGCCACAATTCAACATTTGCTTCAGGTTAGTCCCCTAAACCCTGAACCCCGAAAGCCCTAAGCCCAAAACCCTAAACCTTCAACCGTTTTAGTAATTCCAGTCGGCATTTTTCTGCGAGGCCGAAGTCGTTGAAATCGCTGCAACTCTTGTTGTGGATAAGGAACGGTTGAAAGCTAGGAGACTTCCGTGGTGCGCATGATGCCATTTGCATACGTATATATTTTATATTTACATAATTACATTCCTATACATGCTGCAGTGCACGTCTGAATTGTGGTATCTCGTTCGCCAACCTAAACTGTAGGTAGGACCTACCTACAGTAGCCCCTCGTTCAGCAATGCCGGAGGCCAAAAGCACCTACAACTCGCAATCTTTTGCAGGAGAAGCTGTCGGAGCAGACACCACGTCGAAACCTGGAAGCATCCTGGGCCGCAACTCGGTCATGATACTTCAATGGTCCGAACAATTTGTGACAATACCCTCTCGTGGTCCTTGAAAAGCTATAGTGTAGTTGACCGGTCCAACCCTGGCAAAACCCTACATCATCTGCGGAACTGAACTTAACCCTGTTCCGACTCCTCAAGAGCTTGTCATGGCGGGAGTCAAATCTCACCTGCATGACATGGGGTCCGAATTAGCTACGACGTTTCAGTTTCGGATCTATGAAAAGGGTTTTTGATTAGGATTGTTGAGAAGCTGGGTTCCAGCTAGATGCAACGTTTGGCCCTCCTTTTTTTGTTCCGGATGAGAAAGGTAGGCGAGTTTACGGAAGATAGGGTTTAGGGGTGTTTAGGGCTGTGTAGGGTTTAGGGTTTGGTGCGGGACGGTCTTCCCTCTCATTGCCCTCTGAATCTGAGGCCTTGAGCCGCTCCTGAAATGAAAGATGTCCGCATTCAGGGCGTGGCCTGCTTCACAACCCGAAGATTTTTTTTATTACGAGCTCGTGCAGCTGGATTTTTTTTCTCAAGTTCGTCGCCTGCTGCAGCCCCCCAAATCCCAAGCCCCAATCCTAAACCGGAGTGATAGCTGATCATCAAGGAAGCTATATTGTGGTACAGCTCGTATCGTCCCGCTGAGCATGAGCTTTTGTCGAGTTTCGACGATTTCCTGGCAACATACCACCGTGGCGCAGATTCGCCATAGCAAGGCGGGAGGCAAAGCGAGAACCAAAACCCCAAGCCCTAAGTCCCAAACACCGTGAGCCAAGAAGCAGGACTGCATAAGCCCTACTACAAGGCCCTGCAAATTTACCTACACTCTTTTGCGGGTTCCTTGTTATAAGTATAGTATAATGGCCCTTAAACCCTATTCAGCTCAGTAAAGGCCCCTATGTTGTAATTCATTCCCAAGGACTGGAGCCCCACGGGAACGCCTCGGCGGGCCATCCCGCGGCTTTGGGATTCACCGGCCCGGCGTCCAAGCCCCGCTTCATTAATACAGGGGCTTAAAATAATATTTCCAATGCAATTTTGGGGTTCCTTCTTATACGTACAGCCATAATGTACACCAAAATCCTACACTAACTATTCAGGCCCCTATATCTTATTCTTTTTGTCACCTGGGCTGAGGACTTAGGGTCTGGCCTCTTCTAGCCCTATAGAATAGATCTACATATCGAACCAGCCTGCCAAATAGAACATAGTAGCATAGGGGTCTGCAGGGCGGTTGCTCGGTGGGGCCGACAGACGAAGTTTCGAGCCCGTCCTGGCTACACAATTGAAAGTCCATGAAGCGAACAGCCTTCCTTGGGTTCTGCTTCTGGAACTAACCTTGCGTTGGGGGAGAGGCACACGAGTGGTTCAGCGTTTGCGATTGATTTTGAAGAAGATCGCTTTTGCAGTTGCCGCATTGAAGAGGTTCCTGGATTAGGGAACCAGCTCATCAAGCTGGACATTTAGAGCTGCATATCTCGGTAATCGCCTAAGGCGTCAGCACCGCCTTTATCTCCGGAACGAAGCCAGGCCGGGTTCTTCAATTGATTTAGGGGGTTTTGCTGCTGCGCCTCTGCATTTTGCAGTGAGTACGTGTCTGTTTTGGCTTTTTCCTCCCTATAAGATTATAGTCGAATATACACGATACTTACAAATTCTCTTCTGCTTCTTCAGGCCCCCAAGTTAGCCGGAGATTTTCAGACCTTTGGGCTGTAGCCCTCGATTTGAAAATCCCGCTGGCAGGGCAGTCACAAGAAGATCTTCCTTCCAGACTTCACAGGCAGGATTTCAGTCCGTCGCCAACGCTTTGATCGCTTTGATGGGCAATGGGAGAACCTTTATGTATCGTATGTATGTATATACATACATATATAAATATGTATATATACATGGCATACTATCACACATACTGTATTTTATATATACATATATAATACAGCATCATACTTTGTGTATACATCGTATCTTTAATATCCATCTTTCAAACTTTGACATTTTTGGGCCCGGTTATCAAATAGAGTTTGTGGATAAGTTTGCTTCACGGTCTGCTTTCCGTATATATAGCGTCCCGAAACCCAAGCAAGCGCAGAGTACATGTGCACGTTTCTGAACCAGGGTTCGCGCTGAGCACTGCATCTCTGGCCGCAGGCGTCGCCGATTCTCACGCAGAGGCGAGCGGCTGTAGCTTCTTCACTTCGGGTGTCAGATTTAGTCTTGCGTGTCCGATGGTTTGAGTTGCAGCTGCACGTTGGCTTTGCGCTGTAATTACCTGCGACCCACCTCACTCGAAGTGGTTTGTGATCTGTGCGAATCGAGCCTTTGACTTCACTCTACCGTGAAGCCTGTGATATCCTTCTGAGGGACAGCCTTGCACGTCCTGCTTTGCGGACCTGCTTCCGGATTCTGCGCCTGGGCTTGAGGATAGTGGATCATGAGTTCTCGAAGATCTATCAAAGGGGAAAAGGAGGGACCCTTAACGGGGACCCCTACCCTATAATGGGCCATATCATGGGTATATAATGGCTATATTAAGGATACATACCTAGGGGTCCTTATTGAGGGTCCCTCCTTTTTCCCTTGGAATCTAGCGGAATCCAGCAGCTGTCAAGAGCATGTAGCCGTGGAAAGCCAAGGCCTTCTCTCGGCACTACGGACATCGAAATGCCGAGGCAGCGCTTTCGGCTTAATTCAAAGCCTATCGGCCGATGGACTGTCAGCTTGTGATGTGTCTAGGAACCCTAACTTTTTGGGGTTTGGGGTTTAGCCTTTGAGTCTTGGAGACACTTCAGAGAGACCTCGTTCGAACGAAAGAGCATGTGAGTTCTGTTTTCCATTGCCTGACACAAGGTGACCGGCATGGGCAGCGACGCGTCAGGCAGGAGTCTGACCAGATTTCGGCAAAATATATCTTGAGGACACCTGAGATGAGAGCATATGAAGAGAAGACCGAACCCGACACGTCAAGCAACGCGTTTGTAATCCAAGAAAAGCAGGAGGTAGCCTTTCAGGTAGTTGGCGTAGTTGGCTTATCTTGGCTTTGTATCATTAAACATTCGCACCCTACCATACCATCATACCCATAATTGATATGTTGACCTTTTTTAAGCTCGGAAGATAAGTAAGGGTTTTCTGGTGCCTGGGGGCTTTTCGGGTTTGGGGTGTAGGGGATTGTAGGGGTTTCAAAGGCTTGCCTGAGTCGGAGCAGTTTCAGTGGGAATAACACTAGAGAGCAAAGCTGCCACCTGGGCTTTCCAGTGGCTCTTACGGGTTCTGGGGCCATCTCGCCAAGCAGACTGCATGTACTTTGCCAAGGCAAAAACTTCAGCTACTCGCAGTCACTAAGCAACACAGCAAGTTCGTCAAAGACGATGAGCGCCGCTGCATTCAGCTAAGATGTTCCTTGAAGCATTCTTCTGTGTAGCATACAGAGATGAGATTTTTGACGTGATCGTCCTTCTCTTCAAAAAGACCAGTGGCCCATGGATGTTATCTTCTGCTGAACTGGATGCTAAAGTTCAGCACAGCGTGCTGTGTGGCACTTGCGACCTCCGGGCTTTCTGGCGTTTATATTGCGTTCATGCAATCTCATCGGCCGTCCATTTTCAGGATCGCTGTGCATGCAAGGAGCGTTGTGGATGCAATCTCCGCGGCAACTACGGCCACGTCCATGCCCATGTTAGTGCATCCGTCCCCGACTCCTACTGTTGCAGGGATCGCTGTCAATCCCATCTCAGCGGAAACCACGACCATGTCCACGCTCAGGTTGGTGCTTCCGTCCCCGCCTCCCGAGGTTTCGAGGAGCGCTGTGGATGCAGTCTTCGCGACAACTGCCGCCACATCCACATCTGCGCCCACATCCAGGGCAGCTGCCGCGAAGGAGGCTGTGTCCAAGTTTCTGAAGCATTGGTCACCCGGCATCCAGCTGCAATACCACAACTTGCATGCCGAGAACATGTCCAGGTACAATGTCACTTGCGTGCCAAAGGTTTGGTTGATGCTTTCTGGGCTATATCGATCCCTAAAGTACGTGCGACCGACGATGCTGGATATGCTGCGGCGCTCAGCAGGAGACTGCTGGTTCGTCACATTGCTGGCATCCTCCGGGTCAGGTCACCCACTGGAGGTATTGGAAGATGATTATCGCTTTTTTGAACGTCGCCTTGGCTTCATATCACTTACTAGACACGGCCCTGCTCTCAGGAAGGATTACAACTATCCAATTCATTGGTATGGTTGCTGGCTAGTTGCCCACGTGATTCGAGAGACCTTGCCGCAGACTGCCATGGATGCTGGAAGAACGATTGTCCTGCGCCACCGTCCAGACGCATGCTTCCGGGCTTGCTTTGACGCGGATGCGGCGGGACACGTTTTTGCACGGCGTAAATACATGATCCTTGGGCAGCCGTTTTCTGGTGATAATGCGCTTACCACCAATTGGGCAACATATGCTGATATCATTGCAGCTGGGCTGAGGCAGAGTCCCACGACGGAACTTTTGATCAAAAATCCCGGCAAACGTCATGATCTCTACCACGCCGCCTGGGATAGCAGCTGGAGCGCGTCGGAGTACTGCCACGGCATTTTGCGCCCTGATGCTTCACTGCACCTGTAATCCTGTAAGGTTCTTGACATTCCTTGTCGCAGTTTGCAGTAGGAAGCTAGATTCGATCCCATGTGCGTTGGCAAACACTCGAGGATGTCTGTGTGGGCAAAATTCCATATTGCCTCATGAACAACAACACTCTACCATGCCGCCCTCCGCTCTTCTTACCCGTCTTAAGTTGGCAGCAACATTGCCTTTGCCGTCTGAGCAATTCGAAGACGTCTTCGTGGTGTATAGACGACAAGCCTCCGGGCCAGCCACTGAAAGACCAGTGCCTCAACATCACCAAGGGCACGATGTGTATCCTCCCAAGGAAGAACTGGAAATCTTTACCGAAGGAGTTGCTTCCGCCACCTGAACAGCTGGAAGGCGGATTGAAAGAGATTCGCAACATAGTTTACATGAAGCCCGACCTGGGCTTCTTTCGATGTTTATCAGGTAGAGACCTGTGAGCGCATGTTAGGTTTTGAACCAAAAACGTCCTCCTACGGTCAGCTAATGTGTAGTTGTCTCTGAAAGCACACCGCCTATGATGCAAAGACTCCTAGGGACTGGGTCAGGTGGAAAGCATGCTCTTACCCATGAGTGCCACTATGGACTGTGTTTGTTTGTGCAGCAGAGCTCAGATTTCGCAACTGCCATCGGTTGTCAAGGTTGTCTTTTGACCCAGCTGTTGATGTATTCACTGTTCTGCTTATGATGCTTAGCTAGTTGCGCTATGCTGGACGTTGGTGTTCCTTTCAAATTCTCCTCCCGTAAGATCCTTCTGATCTCTCCGAACATACCTTATATGTTCGTACTCCTAAGTTATTAGCCGAGTTTCAGAAGACAGCGTCGTACCAAGTTGTGCCTGAAGCTTGAAGCCGCGAAGAGGTCTGCCTTGCCATGCGGTAATGGGCAGCAGTCGAGTCCACTGCGCGAAAAAGACATAGTTGCGGAAGTCTGTCAAGAGCTTTGATGTCTCAACGCATCATGTATCGGGTATCGCCGATATATGTGGGTGTGTGTGTGTGGGGTTTCTGGATGGAGACAGGGGAGGCTCTTGACTGTAGATCTGTTTCGACACAGCTGCCTGGGGCCTATGCTCCAGGGGCTGCCTTACATTGCTGACGTGTGGGTTTGGCTGGTTCATGGTCTTAGCATTGTTCTGGTTGGATTTGGGGTTGGGCTAGTAGGTCGCTGATGTATTTGGCCGGCAATATTTGTGGAGGATTGTGCCAAGCCTTGCCTGTCTTGTGACTTGTGCGGTGGTTTCGGATCGCCACCCTACCGAGCGAGCTTGGAAAGGCATCGATGCCTTCACCAATTCTGGTGTTCACCAACGACATGTGTCATCCTGATCCCCCCATTTCGCCTGTGTCGCTTTTGGGTCCGTATTGATGAGGAAGCACTTCTTTTCACAGTCTCGGGCCAATGAATGCAATGCTGGCCCGAGAATAAGACCCTCAGCGGATGCTGGCCGGGACGATTGCAGCAACAGCATCGGGTAGCGTAGGGGTCTTAGCCTTACCAATTAGAACAGGGTTTTGGTGGTTCCTTATTTTCAGTGCAGTATAATATTCCCCCAAAACCTTACTCTGATTATCAAAGCCCCTTTTTAGCAGCAAAGCCAACATTGCAGCTTCAGAATGCCTTCAGATGTTGAGGGCGGTCTTTATGCCGCCATCCTCATCTTAAACCAGGCCCATTACGGGGACCTAAACACCGAAACTACCCATGTAAGATGCGACAGACAGACAGTCCATCGCAGGCCTCACCGGAAATCGCGGTACCGCGACCAGCCTCCCTTCGCAAAGCCCCAGGGTGCGACACAGCGCCGAGGCTGCAAAGATGGAACGCAGACAACCACATTTCATGATGTAAAGAATCCGTCGGTACAATCGACCCCCAAACACCCTATTCAGGTATGATATAGTACGGATCCCTGACAAAGAGGGTCTGTATAGAGTCGACCCACAGCGCCTTTTATTCAGGTAGATACATTGATTTTGCTTCATTCAGGGGTTTCGGATCTCTGGGAAAGTCGTTGCTCATATTATATGTGGGGTTCCGAAAATGGAGGACCTTTGTTGTAAGGACACCAAAATAATAAGGCACCCGTAATTTTCGGAAACTCCCATTCGCACCGAAGCTACCTCCTAGACTGGCGGAGCCAGAATCCAAAAATCTCAGGGGCAAACCCTAAGCCCTGAGCCCAATCCGGCTTTCTAACCTATCGCTGGGAGGAAACAGGGTCTGCACCTAAACAAAACCGAAGCCCAAGTTCATTGCTCAAAGAAAACATGATCTGGCATTGGGGCATAGACCAAGCTGTAGACTGCTGTAGATTCGCAGGGAGGGTGTTGGGCGCCTTGCACGGGTGGCTCTGAGCTTCCCGGAGCTTGGCTTGCTTGTCGAGCTCTTCCTGCGAGAACCATTCATTTTGCTAAGTGATGTGTTTCGAGCCTGAAAACCAGCCTAACAGAAAAGGCTTTCGGGAGAGGCTCCGAGAATGGACGAATCAGCAGAAGGCGCGGATCAGCATGTTGCCTGCGAGTCAACATGTGTTGAAGCTCAAGGGCTCATCGGGGTTCAAAGAGTCAGTAGCGAAGGCGCTCATTTCATTCCCAGCAGAGGCTTTGCAGGCTGGATGCAGAAAAAGTGGCGAAGTGAACGATTTTCAGCCAGACTTTATTTGTGGACTTCGCACGGAGCGTTTGTTCTTGCTCTCTTCTGCTGATGTCCAGTCGTTTTCTTCTACCGACTCCCTCGTGAACAAAACCTCTCGAGCCACTGGTATAGTATGGCAGGCCTGGTGTCAGTGGTGTCGGTTCGGGCGTCCATCCGTCGGAAGAGAATGCCGTGGCCGACAGCCCCGGGGGCACAGACTTCGGTGAAGAACCTGAGGATGAGCTGGTGGATCGAAATTTGATGGCACGAGAGTGCACCGCCAAACTTTTTTTCGTGAAGAAAAACGCGAAACCTTGGTCAAGTTTACGCAACATAACCCTTACCCTAAACCCCAAACCCGTGTGCGATGGCGAGGCGCAGATGCAGAAGAAGGAAGATGCCAAGCTGGACCAGGCCAGCCTTTGTCCGATCTTCTTTGCAGGGTCGCTGGCAGCATGCGCTCCGACCCTTAATTTCGCGGCTGCTAGAAACAGGAGATGCGGCTGAAGGAGGCCTGCACATTCAGACCTGCCATCAACCAAAAGACTCCTGGCTGAGGCTTAGCGATCTTGTTTGTGCTAGCCTTCCACTTGTCCCCTTGTGCTTGATCAGACAAGTTGTAGCAGGGTGACAGTCCTTTTGAATCTGAAAAACGACGGTGGCAACCAAGCTCCTGTCAACATCAATTTCCATAGTCCCTGAGCATCCCTGAGCCCTACTTGATGGTGCGAGCAGTCAAGCGAGCTTCGACTGTGCTCTCAGCACCTAGGTCCGATGCTTTCGCGAGGCGATCTCGTGGCTGCCTCGCTGAGCCACTGAATGAGCGGCTTTACAACGATGCCGGCCGGAGGCCACACGATTCAGAAAGCCCCGAACGCCACAAACGCAAACCATCGAGGAATGCAGGAACCGCAAAGCCCGACAACACCCCGCAACCTTGGCCGGACCAGCTCCCCTGAACCCCTAAACCGTAAACCCTAGGAGGAAAAGAGGGTTCAAACAAACAAAAAGACCCTAAACCCCTAAACCCCGGAACCCCTAAACCCCCAAACTTAGACGTGTGCTGCTTTGTGGCAGGTCGAAGCTCAGAGCACAGGCCTGGGGGCTGCCCGCTTTTTGGGGGTTTACTATAAAGGCCTAAAGAATTGTTTAAGGCTTGGGGTTTAGGCTTTAGATACTATGTGTGTTATTTTTTGGGGGGTCCTTATTATACGTTTTGTATATGTACTCTATAATGGGCACCAAAACCCTATTCTAATTATAAAGGTTTCTAGATTAGGGTTCCTTTGGGACTAGTATTAGTTTTACGGAGTTCCGGGTTTCGAAGTTAAGTTGTTGAGTGATTTTGGGCTTAGGGGGCGGGGGGGTTGACGTATCTTCAGGGTTTAGGTGTCGGGTTTTTCTTGATGAATCTTCGGGCATCTGCTTTAAATCCAAGGTTAACCGTTTCGCCACGGAACTGAGAAACTCAGCAACTTGGTTGACGTCGCCCGGAAGTCTTTGTCAAGTTTGATTCTTCTGGCTCTTGACCCCCCAACTACCCTCTAATATTCCCCAAATACGGCTCTAGTAAAGGGCCCTTGGGCGTTCCTGATAGGTTTTGGAGATGATCTGGTACTGGTGGTGTCGTGTTCTCTAAACCCCTAAACCCCTAAACCCTAAACCCCTAAACCCCCAAACCCGCTGGCATGTTCCGAGTTGCGAGAGCGTAAACGCCCTTTGCTTGGAGTGGCCAATGTGCTGGACAGATGTGTACCCGGATCCTCGCCTGCTTGTCTAGTTGTGAGTGCTGAAACCCCCTTATCCCCCCAAACCCTGAACCCCTAAACCCTGTAGTTTGCCAGGCCAGACTTCGGAACCTTACTTGGAAGGGCAGGGGATTTGGTAAGTAGGTTATAAGTAGAGTTATAAGTGCCCTAAATGGAGTTACCCCAATTATAATCCTACTTATAACCTACTTACTAAGTCCCCTGCCCTTCCAAGTAGGATCCCAAAGGGTCCAAAGTACTTACCTTTAAGGGTACCATAAGGGTTCCTTTAAGGGTTCCTTTTCGGGAACTGTGAGACTTTAGAACTTTCGGGTTAAGGGTCCAAAGTGCCTGTCTGGTAGAATCTGTTCTGATTTGGGGAAGCATTCCCCATAACAGCCCACCTATATATCCCTCAAAGGAATTCAACTTAAAGGGACCCCTATAGACCTTACGTTAAGTATCCCCCATAACAGTACCCAGGACCCTTTGGGGACGTCTGTTTTTTGGTGCATTTCAAATTTCAGGGCCAGCTTGGACCGGCCAGGCGCTTCGGATGTTTCCTTATGAATGTATGGGGTTGAGAGTTTATGGAGGTTTAGGGTTTAGGGATGTATTGAATGTATAGGGTTAGGGTTAAGGGTATAGGGTTTAGGGTTTAGTATTCATGATCGCTACATGCAAGTAACTAGAGGTGTCAGACAGGCCTAGTTAACACGGGGCTTTCCATGTCGGTGTCGAGGCCGCAGGCCCCGAAGCCTTTTAATAGGGGTTCCCGAGTATGTATATATATATATATATATATACATATATATATATATATATATATTTATGTGTGTGCATATATATATATGTGTATTCTGACTGACTGACTGACTGACTGACTGACTGACTGACTGACGGACGGACGGACTGACTGACTGACTGACTGACTGACAACCACTCGGATGCGTCAAGACGGTTCGTGAACAAGGAGCCGCATCTGTGGACTCCGAAGGGACCTGCGCTCAACCAAAGCCTCAGTAAGCCACTTACGGGCCTCCCAAGAGACAGAGGCGCAGGCCCAACGGTACGGATAGTTAGCACACAGCACAAGGCCAAGGTGGCTAACCCAGTACCAGGGCATGGTGCCTTGGCTTGCAACGGCATCTAGCTAACATACGCTGCACAAGATACCCTCGCCTGCAAAAGAACTGACATTAATCCGTGAGTTCGTCCAACAGATCTTGGACCTGTGTTTCGAGATTGCCCGGCGGGGCTTGTCCTACCTTTTCATCACCCCGGCATCACGGAGTAACTGTACAACAGCTATGTATACATATGGGTGTGTAGTCTTATACGCAAATACACTTGCACACATGATATGTGTGTATATATATACACACCACGTGCCTATGTAGGTACGTATGTATGTATGTATGTATGTGTATGAATGTACACACGTATGTATGTATGTATGAATGTATGTATGTGTATGCATGTGTGTATGTATGTAGATGTATGTATTCGTGTGGGCATTTATTTTTACAATTCATATGCTCATGTGTCTATGTATGTGGTATATCGATACGGTTTGTTTGTATGTATGTGCGTGTACATCCTTACATGTAGTATAGGTGTGCATGTATGTGTATACGTGTGGTAACATGTGTATACCTATATACATGTGTATCCATCTTTGTTTCTGGATGTACACCTCACAAAGCCCTCAAGGGGCGACACCTTCGTCTCAGTCTGCACAGCAGCTAGCTGGGAGTTTCGGAAAATAGGGTTCCCGAATATAGTGCCCTAAATGGTAGGATCCCTATGAAAAAAGACCCCAAAATCGGAAACCCCACATGTCCCCCCAAAAAAACCGAATTGGAGACGTCGCCCCGTTGCAAGGCCAAGGAGCTTCTGGATGCAAACGCAGCGCAGCAGCGATAATGTCCTCGGATGTACTAGATACTCCTCACGAACTGCCCCAAATACGGTGGGTAGTGTTCGATGCTGGGGTATGGTATGGGATTGGAGTTTTGCGGCATTCCTAAGGCCTCACATAGTGCTCGTGGTGGGTTTGCACCTTAACTTGTGTCCAGCCCGAAACTTCGTCTGACTTGTCGAGCACGAGTGACAAAAAAGGCCTCACATAGGTGTGATGATAACACTGTCAAGCTCGTCAGCTTCTCCACTCTTCTCATTTCCCAACCTTTGGTATGCACTTGACAATCCAGCTGGCTGCGAGCCAGCATATCCAACACGTGGCAGATGCCCGACCTTGTTCGACTGCATGGCTGCGGAGCCTACACTACTCCCAGCTTCTAACCTTTGCATGCTGACATCCTCGAACACGGCACAAACTGGAAAGCAGTCTTAGGGGTGTGGTCCCGCTGCCCGAGCGCTTCCTGACATATGACGTGCCAATCGCGCGTGACCGCCTGTAAGTTAAGAGTCCATGTACCTTAAACAGTGTCTACCTTGGCCTTAAAGTATTTAAACGTGGACTACCTTAAGGCAAACGTACTTACTGTATGGGTACATGGACCCTCAGGGCACAGCACGGGCTTTTTCAATTGATCCTTCCGCTTCATCTTGCGAGCTTTGTCTTTATTTCATCATCCGAAGGCAAGATGACACATGTGGGTGGTTGTCAAAATTGTGGTCCCTTTTTGGGTCCTGAATATAATATGGCACCTTATATTTAGGGTACCCGGAAAGGGACCTTAATTTTGACAACTACCCATGTGGTTTTCGGACCGGAAGAGACCCCAACGTTGGCCCTTAGTAGTAGTAGAACCTGTCATGATGTCTACCCCCCCCCAAATTTCGAGTCCATGATGTAGGTAGCGAGTAACTAGTAGGAAGGCTGGGAGGCGGACAGCAGAAGGATTGGGGTTTCGGATGTATAGGGTTTAGGATTTAGGGTTTTTGGTTTAGGGCTTGTGGTACAGCGTTTACGGTTGAGGGTTCTTTTAGAGTTTGGGATTTCGCACCCAGGACCTCTACGAGTGCACGTTCACGCCGCGAATCAACGCCCAGCGCAACGAAGGCGAGGCGAGGATCCCCCTGTGCTGGCCTCAGTGTAACATAGAGCATTACAGTACATCATAGCATAGATGGCACGGCAGAGAGAGAGAGAGAGAGAGAGAGAGAGAGAGAGACCCCAAGCAAAGCAGAAAGAGAGGGAGGGAGGGAGGGAGGGAGGGGGAGGGAGGGAGTATTTCATAGTACATTATATAGGCTTTGGGCCAGAAGTGCAAGATGACTAGTGCTACAACATGCCGCAACTCTCGGCCCTCTCAAGAAACTGCTTTCTTTGGCAAGAAATACTGACGAGGGCGTAGTCGAGCACGCGTGAGCACAGCTTGAGCCATGGAGGAGGTGGCCAAGAGAGCAAGACTCGCCAGTCAGAGCCTGGCCGGCTCTAGCGAGGGCCTGAGGAACAAGGCTTTAGAAGCCTTCAAGAAGCATTTGCTGGAGAAGCGAGCACTTATCGAAGAGGCAAATGCCCAAGACAAAGCAGAGGCCGAAGTCGCAGTTAAAGCAGGCAAACTGTCCAGTTCGCTGTTCAAGCGTTTGGACGTTAGTGGTGCGAAGTTTGACACGCTCCTGAACGGGATCGATGAGATCTTGAGCCTACCAGACCCGATTGGCCAGGTGACGTATGCAAACAAAGTTGCTGAAGGTTTGAACTTATACCGGCTGACATGTCCCATCGGAGTTCTCCTCATCATTTTTGAGGCTCGACCTGATGCCGCTGTTCAGATTGCATCGCTAGCTATGAAGTCTGGCAATGCCTTGCTCCTCAAAGGCGGCAAGGAAGCACAACGATCCAATGCAGCTCTTGTCACTGCAATGTCTGCAGCTTTGCAAGATGTCGGTCTTCCTGCGGATTGCATTCAGGGGGTTGACACCCGCACAGAAGTTGCGGAGCTCCTAAAGCAGGACAAGTACATCGACTTGGTCATTCCAAGAGGTTCCAATGAGTTGGTCCGGTCTATCAAGGATGCCTCTCGCATTCCTGTTATGGGCCACGCAGATGGAATCTGTGCCGTCTACGTCGACAGCAAGGCAGACTTAGAGAAAGCCGTGAAAATCGTCGTCGACTCCAAGACACACTACTGCGCGGCGTGCAACTCTATGGAAACGCTGTTAGTGCATGAAGATGTGTGCGCATCTTTTCTGCCCAAGCTCGCAGCAGCATTGGAAGCAAAGGATGATGTTCATTACAAGGCAGATGCGACGTGCTTACCCCATCTGCCGGTAGCCCTTTCCGAGCCGGTGACGGACGATGATTTTGACACCGAGTTCCTGTGTCACACTATGGCTGTCAAGGCAGTTGCTTCCGTCCAGGAAGCGATTGACCACATCAACAGCCACAGCTCTGGGCACACGGAAAGCATCGTCACGGAAGACCCCACGATCGCCGAAGCCTTCCTCAGCCGGATTGACTCGGCGGGTGTCTACCACAATTGCTCGACGCGATTTGCCGATGGCTTCCGCTACGGCTTTGGAGCAGAGGTAGGCATTTCCACGAATCGAATCCATGCACGAGGTCCCGTCGGCCTCGAGGGTGTCTTGGCCTTGATTTGGGCATCTAGTTTTACCTCATTTTTGGGGCTTCGGGATTCCTATCCTTTTAAGAAGGATCCTTTTCTTTCTTTCCTTCCGAATACGGACCCAGGTTTAGTAATCCACAAATACCGGATGTACGGAGATGGCCACACTGTCACAGGATTTGCAGGCTCAACTCCCGAGCATGCATTCCTGCATGCCCCTGTATCTGGGGTGGCACGCGTCGACGACATCCCACAGGCAAAGAAAGCCAGAACGTAAAGGAACATGAGAGCAGCTCGGAAGACTTCAATCTTGTACAGAGTAGATTGATCTCTTGCCGTTACGAGGTGCAGTTCTTGCAATGCCTCGCAATACTTCAATACACATCCAGATCACATGCCCTTAGAGTCCAGCCGGACATCTTTGGTCCTGTACAGACCTCTTTGTTCATTCAGGTTCGTTGATACAGCTGTGCCAGCAGACGTGAGCCCACACTGATGCAAAAACGGGAGTTGTGTTTGAGCCGAATTGTGCGTTGTTGCCGTGTGGAGACAGGTGCCAGACAGAATGTGTAAGCTCATGCGCATATTCACTTATAGTATCACTGTGAAGGGTTTCTGGCCTGAGTGTAGGTTTAGAGCGGTTCGGGTATTTGCAGGTCCAGCGTCTGAGGCTTAGGCCATTCAAGCCCAGGATAGCTACGAACAAAAGAATATGGGGGCTGTACCTTGATCTGTCAAGGCATCTTCGAAGCGAGGCGATCCAACAGACCAAACAGGCAGGCATGCTTCCGGCTGAAGGCTTAAGGATAGATTTGGCAAGCCGTTGGGGTTCAGGTTGTGCTTGGAGCTTAGTAAGTAGCTGAAAAGACTTAGTAAATCCCCCGACCCTCTAAGTGGGGTGTTGGTCCATGGGCGGACATAAGATGCTGTGGACCACGCACAAAAAGGAGCGATCGGGATGGCTGTTTTAGCGTGATTTGGAGGTGCGTGGCGGTTTGGACATGTGGGCTAAGACAGCCAACAGGTTCACCCACTATGAAGCAGGACCTTCAATAAAAGATGCAAAAATTGTTGTAGCATATACCCCCAAGCCCGATTCTGGCTGTTCAGGCCCATCTAGTAGTCAGTCGCATGTGCCTTGGGCCCAACCAAGGCCTAATTTTGGTCAGCCCTGAAGTTCCGGAGAGTCTTCGACCAAAGCACCCCTCGATATTGAGGCCGTACATAGGGTCCCAAAACCTCCATGTATCCATGTAGTAGCTACTTTAGCCTTAAAGTGCCCATATAGGGACCCCTTTAAGGCCCAAGTACTTACCTACTTGAGGTCTCAGGGGGTCGCGTGGGGGAGGAATGGCTTGAACCACGACCTCAGTAGCGGTTGCAAGAGCCCTGGACACGTCTGTGGGACTCATCCTCAAAGCAGGCACGCACACGAGCAACGCAAGAGGCCCTGAAAAAGCAGCCTGGCCGCACACAATGCTTGCTTGTTATATATCTAAATATAAATATATACATATATATATAGATAGATATAAGTATTTATTTATTTATTCTACATATATATATATATGTGTGTGTGTAATGTTCTACACACATCTACTCTGAGCCTTTCTGCTGACAGAAATCCCGAGCTTCCTCCAGGTTTTGCTGTTCAGCAAGCGCCAGAGCTGCGCGTCCAATTGAACAGCTCACAGATTTGGGGGGCAGCAGCAGCTGCAGTCGTCACCCTCCTGATTACATTGGGGGCCTGCTCGAGCAATCATATGCTCTCCCAAAGACTGACCTACAAAAGTGTTTATCTTAAATCCAGGCACCCAGTTATAAGGCCCTTTGGATATCTACTTTGACCCCCATAACCTACCATTTTAAGGACTTGTATAAGGAAATCATATATTGAGGAACCCGAAAAAGGCAGCTTTTTTAGGGGCTAGGTAGGGTTTGTGCACCCTAAACCCTAAACCCTAAACCCCTCAGAGTCATGAGAGTAGGGAGATTCTCCTTGGAATGAACTTTGTTTTATGCCCGGGTGGTATATTCTTGTGGTGACTTGGCACAAGTGAGAATCCAATTAGCCCATTTTCACACCGACTCCGCACCTAAGAACCTCGCCTGGCTTGTCCGAGTTGTGAGAGCGTAAACCCCTAAACCCTAAACCCTAAGCACCCGAGGCAGTTCCCGTTGTCGTTTCAGCCCACTCTCTCTGCACGGAGCCATCGGCTGGCAGAACGGCGCAAGCTGGAAGCACGGAGGCGGACGGCCGTGCCTTGGGGTTTGGGCCTACCTAAACCCCAAATAATATCTTTAAAGACCTATAGAAAGAAATCATAACATGGAACCCTAAAAAGGTAGGTTTCTTAGGGTTTAGGGTTCAGGCTTTGTCTTCGTTCACAGCCCTTGGGTATGCAGGAACGCAGTCCCAGAAGCCGGCAACTCCGATGCCTATGCGTGCATGTTGTTTCCGCGGCAACGAACCGCGCACGTGCCGAAATGATTACTGCGACAACCTGAGTCAGCTGCGAATGCTTTGAACAACGAGCGATACCTGCCTTTGGACGCTATTGTGAAGCTTAATTGTGTCCCCTGGAACATCCTGAAACCTCGCCTGACCCCGTTGAGTGCGAGTGCTAAAGAGCAATGATACTTGTAGCAGCACGACCGACCGCATCCTTCAGATGGCCGTTCGGTGGCTACTATAGGGGCCTAAAATAATTACCAATGCTACTTTGGTGGTTCCCTATTATAGTTATAGTATAATGGGCCCCAAAACCCCATTCTAATAACTAAGGCCCCTATATTAACTGCATGCAGTTTGGATTCTCAGATGCTGCAGGTCTGCAAGTCAGGATGCATTCAGTCCCGGCGAGGCACGTCGGGAGCCATTGGTTTGCCTTACCTTCGGGTTGAAGGAGCCTTCAGCTGTTGTAGGCAGGCCTTTGGGATATTTTATATTTCCCTTATTGGGCTTAATAGGACACTATTAACAAATATTTTGCAGAGGCTTTAAAGGGCCAACCTAGTGTTCAATAACCGAATCTCCATCTGCAGATGATGAGTATTGTACGCACCAGTTCTACCAGGAAACTGCTGAGGCAGCCCAAACGAGGTAATGGGGCCTTATAAGGACCAAGGATAATTGATGTGTGCGCAGATGTCTTTCTGGAGCACCGATGTGACGACGGTCCCGGGATGTGTTGCTTAATCTAGTGGCACGGTTGAACAGTCCCACATTCCCCAAAGCAGCACCCTGATTGCCAGGCGGCCAGGTGCATGTCTTCTACTCTGGATGGTCCGAAAGGGTCCCCAGTCAAGCGGGCAGCCAGCAGCGACAGCACACGAAGGAGCAGAGCCGGCTGCTGTGAGACACACGGCCAGCTCACAAGTAGGAGACCAAGATAGTTATGCTCGACACTCCTGCCTGCAATCCCAGACAGAATCCAGAAATTCGCGAGGACATCATCCCTGCCACAGGTCCGTTTTGCTCGTTGGGATTTCGACGTTTGGTGACTTGGGATTTTGAGCTCTGTTACGGCGTCATGTGCGCGATCTGGGGCGACAAGGGCCAGGTCAATCGTTACTCACTAAAATCACTAAAACTGCTATCGTAGAGTGCGGCGGCTAGTCTTAGAGTCCGACGATCCTGGATCCGGGTTTCAAGTTTCAGGTGTCATTCTCGTAAGGCCGTGCTGCAGGACCCATGCTCTCATAGTTTATCATGTACTTAGACCCCCAAATACCCTCTTATATACCCTAGGACCATAAGGGCTCCATCAAAGGGCCATTGGGGGTCCTGGTAGAACTCCGGGTTCCAGGCGTATGTGAGCCTGGCGCCAGGCATTTCTCGAAAGGCAGCAAAGCTACGAGGAGGCCACGGGCTCAAGGTTCATACTAACAATAATAAGGGTGGTTGTCAAAACTAGGGTCCCCTTTCTGGGTACCCTAAATATTAGGTGCCGTATCATAATAAGGACCCCAAAAGGGACCCTAAGATTGACAACCACCCATATAGGAACCTGATTAAGAAACATTGGGTCGTTATTAGGGTTCCTTATATGAATCCTACTATTTTGGGGCCCAGGGTTTCTTAATCAGCTTCATACTAATATTCGTGATGGTACCTGATAGTCAAGCCGTGCGAGCCCCAGCTCATTACGCAGAGAAGGGCTCTATATATATATATATATATATATATATATATATATATATATAGGCTTCGTGTTTCAGGGGTCCCAGAAGGTTTTTTTTGAACCTAAAGGTGCCGAAAAGAGTCAGAGGTTCGAGGCACAGAGCACGAATCGCGAACTTCCGAAGATGCCGTGCGCAACCTATCAAGGATTTCACATTGTGGGTCTAGGAAGAGTCTAGGATTTAGGATACTGGTGCCTAGAGACTGGGCCCGAAAAAGGTTTCGGCTGAGGCTTCCTATGACAACAGCAGCAACAAGAGCAGAACGACAGCTTGCACAAGCAACTGCACCCTCCCTCTACAATTTCTGCGACCAGCCGCCTCATTTTTCAAGGCACGAAGATTTCGCAACAGAGTTCGCCTGGAACACGCTGAAGCAGACTTCACCTTCAGGCAGGTGACTGCGTTCTGTCAGAGAACACTGGGCAGTCAACCGTGTAGTTTTGTTGTCCAATCGGGACGACGGGTCGCCATAAAGAGGCCTCACATTGATTTCTGTCGCAGCTGATGAAGAGGGTGCTGCTCTTGTCCAAGTCCTGTGCTTCCTATTTCCGATTACATCCTGATAGCCCCAATGGGCAACAGATGTATATATATATATATACATATATATATGTATACACACACACATAATATATATATATATATATATATATATATGGGCAGTGGTCAAAATACCTTGTCGCGAAGTTTATACAAAACAACCTATTTGATTGTTGGGGTCTGCATTTTGATTTACAACAAGAGGCGTCACGCAACTAGGGCTCCTTAGTCCCCTTGTTGGCGCTAGGACAGCGCTAGCTTGGCGCTAGGGATCGAGATAGCAAGTGGTTCGTGACATATTTTGTTGCTAAGCTTAGAATACATAATAATTAAATCTGCAAACCTTTTACTCCTCCTGTGCTCCTATCCCGAATTCTTCCTACTCGTACTCTGAACTCTGCCATTCTACTCCTGCTCCTGCTCCCACTCCCACTCCCGCTCCTACTGCTGTTATTGCGACTGCTACCGCTCCTGCTGCTGCTGCGGCTGCTGCTATCAGGTTTAACCTCCTGTGAACTACGATGTCACTCCAATCACACATTGCTTGAAGAAGCTTCTTTCCTCGCAAGTAACAACATTCTTTTCATTTGCATAAGCATCATGTATCACTGCCATCACAGCTGAGCCAAAAAATGTGTGATAACATGGGCAATCCGCGCTAGCTCCGCGCTAGCAGCGCGCTAGGAAACGTTTCAATTTTGATGCTTAGCCCATCCTTCTCATCTACACTAGTCTACTGAACCATGTTGACGTCAGCTGAGCGCCAACCCCTGCGAAATGCTGGCCGTGACGCCTATAATTATATACTTGAAGGCACATGGCCACGATGATTGGCTCGTGCAGGCAGCCAAAGAGGTTAAAGGTGCGAGTGCGCACGTAGGAGCTCACGGCTTGGAAACGGCACGTGTGCAATAGAACGTGCTTCGTGAAATCATGCTTACTTCCTACTCCTTTATTTCATAGGTCAGAAGCCTTTCCGAGACTAGCCTTGGGCCAGCTGTCCACACCCCACACATGTGGCCTGTGCTAGCAACACTTCAGAGATTTGCAATCGAGAAGTTAAAACACGAAATTCTGTAGTGGTAGTGTTTCTCTTTTCTACTGCCGCATTAAGGTCAACCTCAGGAACAATAATATTGAACAGCGCCCATATATATATATATATATATATATATACATACATACATACATTTCTTCAGTAGGCTCAAAGTCCCGGTGCGAACGCACCTCTAGCAAAGAACTGGAAGCTCGCGGGTGTTTGTATATCCACTTTTGCGCCAATTTTCGGGAGGTGCGCAGAAATCTGACCTTCCCGAGAAGTGCGCGAGGAGAGTAAACCCCGGTTGCTACGAGAGCCAAACGCCGTATCTCCAGCGCTTCAAAGTCCTGAGCCTATTCAACCGGTCCAGGGGCTGGGGGAGGCAAACTGCAAGACCAAACCTGCATGGTTGCTATACCTAGTAGTAGAGTAGGCAACCTTTAGCCTTTATTATTGGGTAGTACAATCCCTGTATTACCAAAAAGGTTAACCTTTAGTTCCCCATGATACCCGACAAGTAGGTTTAACACACACCATGCCCGCTCCGACAGGCGTGCCGTCCACAGTGACAGCGTATGCACAGACACTCATGCCAAGCAAACAATAAACAAGAGACCAGTTCGCACAGCACTGCAATGATTGTCGCTCCGCAGCTCAACCCAGGTTGCGCAGATGCTTAAGCAAAGCCTCCTAACCCTCGTCTGACTTGTCGAGCACGAGTGACAAAAGCAAAGCGGCAAAGTAGATGATTTCCACAATGCACGGAGAGACAAGTCACAAGCATGGAGCAAGGCTAACCCTTTTCGAGAAAACCTTGCTCCACAAGCGCTTCGACGGTCATCTTACCATTCGTCCAGAGATCGATGAGGCCGTGTTCGACAATGTCCTTCAAGCCTGTGGTCGGAGCGACGATGAGCCGCGTTCCCCAGCGCACAGCCTCCATCTGCACATTGGACATGTCCATGTGGCTTCCGCCTGGTGGCAATGTGTAGTCGCATCCCGCGAGCAAAGCAACACGGTCCCTTACCTTTCAGCTTGCGTAAAACAGCCACCATTTCTGTCTGAACACAGAACCAGCGCTTCCAACACCAACATACACCAACCACCACCATATACGGTTCGATGCCATCCGGCACTTCCATCAGCGCCTCAAGGAGGAAGTCGCTGCCCATCTTGGCGACACCAAAAAAAAGATGAAGCACATCAACCCGTAGTGCTTGCGATACGGCTGGGGGTGCTTCAATAGCTTTAACCCTCCTTTGCGTCTTCTGCTGGGGCTGCTGTGAACGGAGGATTACGGACCGGTGGCGAAATCCGCCTTGACCCCCAGTGATCTTGCAGAGGACCTCCAACTCCACAGACTTGTCGGGGTCTATATCGTCTCATGACATCCTGGATGCATATGTTCAGCTGCTGCTCATGGCGTGCCCATTGTCGAGGGGCACTGGGGTCCCTGACTATTGGCCTCCGCTGCTGTGGAGCTTGATCCCGGACCTATCTACACGCAGATACGACATACTGACATGCAAGACCGTGCATGTCGATGTGTGTCTACGTATTTGTACGTATGTATAGTTAACAAAAATTTATACTTGTGTGCCAATTGTGTTGTTCTTGTTGCTCTCTATACGTAATGTCTATATCATATAGGTATATACCTACATATTATATATATATATATATATGTGTAAATGCATATATATATATATATATGTGTGTGTATGTATGTATGTATGTATGTATGTATGTATGTGTATATATATATATATATATATATATATATGTTATATATATATATATATAACATATATATATATATATATATATACTCGGATCCTTTTAGCAAGGCGCTGGAGCGCCCCAGGTGATGACTTCTATGTAATCGCAAGGATGTCGTTGCGCTCGTGTGCACAGAGTTCGGCTGTACATGCGCAACGTACGGCCTGACTGTCAGTTTCTCGTTCGGTTTCTGGAAGGATTGTAATGCAGTAATCCCTTCCCCTGAACATTCAACCCCCCCCCCCCCCCCTAATATAAAAACTGCCGGCCCCCAGAATTTCGCGGTTTCGGGCCCCGCATTCAATTTAAAAGGGACAACATTAGGGGGGGTGGCAGATCTGTATGTGTTTTAATTGAAGGAAGACTACCGTAGTACTAAAGAGAGCAGAGCTTTAGGGTTTAAGGGTTTAGGGCCCAGGGCTTTAATTATAGAGCCAAAGATTACAGCAGTATTAAAGAGACACGAGAGCTTTAGGGTTGAAGGGTTTAGGGCTCAGGGCTAAAGCTCTAGGGCTCACGGCTTTAGGGCTGGTCTGTCTACAGCTGGAACGCTTGTCTGACTGTAATTAATTATTTACTCACGAACTCATATAACTACGTGGATGCCGAGGGCTTAAGCTTTAGGGTTGAGGGCTTCAGGGACTTAATTAGGGCTCAGAGCTTTCGGGCTCTAGCCGTCTGACTGTCTGGCTGCCTCATTATTCCTGTCAGTCCGACTCATACCCGCAGGACCCGAAACCCCCCCTAGTATAAAAACTAAACCTCCGAAATCCAGTTTTTATATTAGGGGGGGGGCCTTTTAATATTAGGGGGAAGGGATTATAATATCGCACCACATAAAAAACTAGAACATGGTATAATCTCACAGAATTGAGCGTTTTGGCCCTCGGCCAGCAAGGTTCTAGCTGATCAGCGAGTGATGCCAGCAGGCCTGCGATCACCGAGGGCAGCGAGCACTTGCGAGCCCGGAATCCAGAGATGCTTCTCGCCTAGAAAGCATATCAAGTTTCAGTGTGATCTTCTGTTGCACGTAGGTGGGAAACCATGAACGACGTTTGGACCCCTGTGCCCGTCTTGAATCGAGGCACAGGACATGCTCAAACACTAAGCTGACAAGCACTGCTGCCTGCAAATGTGCCGAAATCTTCTCACCAAACTGTCCAAGTCGTCGCCCATACGACATTCAGAAGCACGACAGCATGTGCCTTTTTTCTGCAAATGTAGACTGTAGACATAATAAATGATGAAGTGGTTCCTGCATGACCTGTCTCTTTGTTGGGTAAGCGAACAAACAGCATTGGAATACACACCAGAAGAAAAATAGCAGTTGTTGGAAGACTGCTGCCATGTGGTGAACAAAACACCGTCCCTTTGCACAGTCAGATTACGGATTTCAGGCGCAGCTTGACTGTTGAGGCTTGGTGAGTCCCTGGAAGAGCGCATTGAGCGGTTGGCCGTGCGCGACGTGTCTCTGACAGCAAGAGTACCAATCTGAGGGGCCATCTTAACTTGTCGATGCTTGAGTCAGAAAGACGCAAAAATCTAGAGCGTGGGGGCGTGCAGTTTGGTTTGTCCGTCCGAGACGCCGGGAAAGGAGGACAGCAGTGCAGCCACAGAGTGCGTGGGTCACGTGGTGTGCGAGTGAAGAATTTTCTCCCTTTGTCTCGGCACAGTCTTTGTTCATAACTATTTCAATTGGGGTTATAAGTAACTATAAGTATCGTTACTTCATTGCTGGAGAGGCGGATCAATGTCAGGAAGTTGAAGTCGCTGTCAGGGCATGCTGCACCCAGTTTCTTTTTGTTTAAGGTGGCTCGAAGGCAGCTTGTCCGGAGCGAGATGCAGAAATCCATGTTCAGGACAGGCTGCAACACTGCGTAAGGCTCTAGTGCCAAACGGATGAGAGACACATGATGACAGGGTAGTTTGGCCAGAGACTGTTCGGGAGGGTTCCAACTAGATACGCACTGCACTCAAGTCGAGCTGGTGGAACATTTTATGCAGACGGATGTTTTGTGTCTCGTCAGCTCTCAGAGATCCCAATACCCCTTAATTAAGGATTATACCTTAAATTATAGGGGGCTTAATATTTTGATTTAAGGTATATTCCGTAATTAAGAGGTATTGGGTTCTTTGGGCTGGTGTGCCGTTGTTGTAGCTTCGGCTGCTGCCCTTTTCGGCCGGTTGCTTGTCGTTTCTGCCCGCAGGGATTGCACCTTTGCCCCCGCGGTCAGCCAGCAGTCGACACTGCAACTTGGCTCTGACCAGATAGGGGCGTTTCCGAAGGTAGGGGACCCTAACATAGTAGCCCACAAAGTAGGATCCTTGTTAAAAGGACCCCTAACAGGGTACCCCTAATTTTCGGAAACTCTCAACCCTAAACCCTTTATAGAACCCTTATAGATATCCCTTTAAAGGAACCCTTAAAGGCACCCCTAATCTTCGGCAACTCCCATATGATGTCCTCGGCTTTTCGCGTTGGCTTGAGGGAGCTCCGTCGTGTTCGTGCACGCGACTCGAGGTCAAACCTATAGTCTCCATTGTTGTTCCTTTGTTTGATGAACCAGTTTCATGGTTAGGACCCTATAATAGAGTTTTTGGTTAACCAAAAAAGGATCTACAATGGAGACTATAGGTAATATTGAGTTCCGACCTGATCGTTTCAGGCTTTGGGTCATTCTGCGGTGTGCAGGCGAGGTACATGTACGCGCAGGATCTCGCCAAGATAGGATAGAATAGAAGGCAGGGGACCATCAAGGAACTTTTGATGAGCATGACATGCGCGTGTCTTGACCCAACTTTTTGTTGTTGATTTGTCTCCGCTCGCGTGCGTGGAATCCAGACCACTGGTCAACACATCCGAAACTAACGCTCAGGATAAACAGCTCGCGTGCGATGCGCTCCTCGGCAGACGGTGGCAACTTGGCAGGAGGAAAGGTCGCATGCAGGGCTGAATGGGAAGTTCTGCGGCGACATATTAATTAACTCCGTATGAGTCACTTCTTGTTACCGAGATTGCGGCACATGTTTTGCACTGACCAAGTTCATCACATTGCTCTGGGCAAAGGCCCTGCGTAGGAACGGAGCACTCATTGTATCCTGCATTATCCTGCCAGACACAGATTGAATAGGTAGGCCGAGCGGGTCAATTCAAGGCAACGACCTTCCCAAAGGGTCCAAGTATCAGTATGGGATAGACTTAGACCCCCCAACTACCCTATAAGTATATACCATAATGATACTTGGACCCTTTGGGCTTCACATCTTCCGGCTACAGGCGTTTACGACCGCCTCTACGCCGACGCAATGGCCAAGGAGAAGATGCGCGAGGCCTCCCCGGCTCGCGGTGAGCTGCTCGTCTTTTGCAGGAAGCCTCCAAGTTAATTTTATATATATATATATATATAAATAAATATAAATATAAATATATATATATATATATAAATATATATATAGTTTTAAAAGCCGGGCCGAGTTTTTGCTCAGCTGAAACCCGCACAAAACGCACGGAAGAGAAAGAGAGAGAAAGAGATGAAACCTCTCCATTCTGAAGTGTGCAGCACCATGGATGCGCCTGTAGAGGACTCGAGGATACAAGGATATTGGGACTTCTTTCAAAGCTCCTTCCAGACGTTGAGCCTTGTAACGTTAAGCATACCTTACTTCATTGGGCTCCACGTGAACCCGTCAAGCGCCTCACTCCTGTTTACAAGTTGACCCAACTTGAAACCCAGAGCCTAAATCCCATCCCAGGAACAGCTTTCAGCCACAACTGGACCGAAGAGGGAGCCGACTGTATTCGCACGTCCGCGCACACTACACAAAGCCGGTCTGGCCCTCAACATGAGCCCGATGGGGAATTGACCAATTTGGCTTTGGCTTTCGGCATGTTCACAACCTCTCCTTTCTGCACAGTGTTCGGCCGTGTACCTGGTGTCTGAGATAGAACTTATGGCTTTGAGACTGTTGATTGCAGTGGAAAGCTGCTCTGGCGATCAGATGTGATGGATGCTTTCTTCCTGGGGACGCTGGAATTTACTCGTTTGTGGTGGTGAGGCTTGATCACCACACCTGACCTGCAGCTAGGTGCTGTTTGGAAATAATAGAAGTTCCGATGCTTGAGCGCTTATCCATCCGTAGTTCCGATTACGGTGCTTCCTGGATTCCTGCTTTCGTTTTCGACTCCCGGGCCTGTTTTCCTTGACTACGTTGCCTTTCTATGTTTGCGTTTCTACCCTTACCCGCGGTTCGGTATGCAGAGTCTCCTGGATCTCTAGATACTAGATTCTAGATTGAAGAAGAGACCGTAACCCCATTCCATTTGTCACCTACGTCCATAGGTATCCCTTGTCCCCTGCGTTGTGGATCCTGCCCTCAGGCCGACATCATGGCA